GGCTGCCTGTTGGAAGAGAAATCATGCTTTAGTGGTTAAGACAAGCAAACATGATGTCCCTTCTAATTTGCCAAATTAATTGAAAAGTTGCATTTCCAAGTGGATTAGCCCTCTCTTATGGGTAGTGGTATTTGGGAAATGTCTGAATTTGCTTCAACCTTCTCTCTCCCTTTTGTGAGTTCCCATTTCCACATAGGGAATAAATTTGGATGGACTAATCTACTCAGAAATGAGTCCATGTTAATCTAACTGCCTCCACATCCACAAGTCTTTGGAAAGAAGCAGGACGGGCACAGATAATTCACTGACTGGGACAAAAAGGGCTTGCATAAGTTTTGAGCAAAATTGTGTCCATCACAAGGCAAGAATGTGGGCTGTGCATCCTTATGTTCTCTCTTTGACACTAGTGTGATTGCATGCTTCAGTGTGCAAGAGCAGACTGGAGTGGCTTTTCTTATCTAGTGGTTGCAGCTTCGAAAAGGTATCCGTGGGGTTGACCACATGGATCCATGGAGCAGCCCCTGCTGATAGTCTCAGAGTGAAGAATTGCAAGATCCTGGCCTCAGGATTCAAAGCATTGGCCCGAGGGATTAGAAGGGTGAATTCAAGAGACAAATTGTGGTTGAAAGCACAGTTCACGCTGTGACTGTTTCAATTCTCAAAGAAACTGCACGGAATGAGTAAGTCAGCAGGCAGGATTAGCACCTTCTCTCCTCCTGGTGCAATACATGGTGCAGTCATACAGGTGTGGTTTTCCTGGTGCAAAAGTCTCTCCCGCTGCTAACCATTCTCTTATACAATGGTTTCCTTGTACCTCAAAGGTAAGAACTACAAAGGCTAATGAGCTAACTCTCTGGGCCTGTTATCTCCATCCCACCCTGCCACACCAGGAAGCCACGTGCCCTTCACCAGGTTCTTCACTGGAGGTGGGAAGTCCCCAGTGTACGTCCGCCATGCAGGGAATCCTGTTCCCTTGGCGATGTCTGCAGCAGGCATCCCATCACGAGCTCCTTCCTGGTATATCCAGCTGTTGCATTGGATGTGGCACTGCCAGTTTGAGGAAATCACCTGCAGGTAGCCTTTTGTCTCAAAGAGCTGTTACACTGAAGCTGTGCTAGCCCTCAGCTAGGAACTTCATTTGGGTTTTCCAAAGATACACATCTCCTTCTTAGAAGAAAGAAAATGCCAAATAAGTGTCCGCCCTGTGCTAGCAAGAGGGAAGGACTGTAGTAAGGTTGTGTGGAAGAGCACCAAGGGTGTAATTTAGTATTTAGACACCTTGAAGAACTGTATTGGTGGATTCTCCTTTGAGTTATCATAACAGAGGCGTGTCTGGAGTACTCAGGGGTTGTAAGAGAACTTCCCAGCACAGCTGTAAATAGCAGCTCCAAGTCACAGACACACAGACCATATTTGTAGAGTTAAAGGTACTTCCTATTTTGGTATGGAAGCCCTACAGATCCTTGGGGCTAAAGCCAAACAGATACCCAAAGCATGAAATTAAATCAAAAAGTTTTCATTTGTGCGCTATGAAGTAAAAACAAAGAAGAACCCAGAGCCCAGAGATATGACAGTTCTGGATAGGTACAGGTTAACAAGAGGTAAAACTGAGAACCATTTCAGACACACTTTAAAGTGGGTCTTCAAAGATAATGATTTGTAACCAATTAACAGCATAGAGTGACTGTGTCCATCCCACAGCACTGTTTTTAACACAAAGGCAAGCAGAAGCATGAGATCAATACTCTTCTAAAGCCATGTACATCTTTATTCTCCACCCAGGCCAGCAAGGATGGGAAAAGGGAATGCAGTTAAAAATAACAATCAGCAAACACACGTTATCTTTACTTAAAAAAAACATCCAGACTAGAGCAGCCAGAAACACACTCAACAATCAGAATAACTGGAATTCCCTGCAATTTGACAGTGGCACATAAGCAGAAATTACTTGTGAGTTTCTGAAAGCAAGGGTAGAACAAGACAAAAACTTGTGCTTTTTTCTATTACAAGTGATTATGATTATACATTTTGCAGCAGGCAAACTGCTCCAGGGGATAACAGGCAGGAGAGAAAGATATCCAGAGTTGTTTTGAGAAAAGTTTAAATAAAACTTTTACAAATAGCACCAGAACTAACCCCAAGCTTCAACTAGCCCCCACCAAAATCAATGGCAGAACACCCTGACTTTAGCAGGAGCAGAGGCAAGCTTGGTTAAGTGTAAAGAAGTAGAAAACACACAATGGATTGTTCCAGTATATCTCAAAAAAGGTGGCCTCCAAACCCAGAAGCAGAGCTGCCATGGCAGAGGGAGGGTAATACGACTTCTCTGGTGCCCCTTTGTGTTTACACAGCAGTAAGAGGCACAGATTTGGGGTTGTCTCCACTCTGGCAGGCTGCTTGCAATTCTGAAAGCAAATCCTGTGCTCAGCAGACATTTCACATGGCTGTATTCCGTAACGAGCTAGTATCTATCATTCAAGCCCCCTGTAAGTGAAGGCTCTTTGTGCTACTGACCTCAGCCTTTCGTCTACCCTTGAACAGCTGCTGTTTGGCAGTGACAGCTGAATTGGGTTTTCTCCCTTGGCAGCAATGCACACTTGCCAGCCATCCTTCCCCCAAACCCACTTGTTTGCTGCACTTTGGGGCTCAGATACACAATCCACTCCTTTCACGCCAGCAGTGTCTCTCTAGGCAAAGCATGAGAACACTTGCCAGCAGGCCCTCCTTCCCATTAATACTTGTTAAGCATCACTTCTTCCCACCCTCCAGCCATGTGGGAGCCTGCAATTTCCGTGTGGAGAAGTATTAAGCAGAGTGGCTGTGCTGGGTCACTACAGACTGCCAGCACTGGCATAACTTTTTAGCAGGGCCTGTTGTGATAGGACAAGGGGTAGTGGTCTTAAAATAAAGGAGGGTAGGTTTAGATTAGATATAAGGAAGAAATTTTTTACAGTGAGGGTGGTGAAACACTGGCACAGGTTGCCCAGAGAGGTGGTAGATGCCCCATCCCTCAAAATATTCAAGGTCAGGTTGGATGGGGCTCTGAGCAACCTGATCTGGTTGAAGATATTCCTGCTCATTGCAGGGGGGTTGGACTAGATAACCTTTAAAGGTCCCTTCTAACCAAAACTAATCTACAGTTCTATGATTCTATGACTTACCCTCAGCATCTCTATTAATTCAGAGCCATATCAAGCTCCCTGATTGAAACAGCCTCGTGAAAGGCATTTCACTGCTTGAACCGGTCCCAGGCATATGTCAGCCTCTTTGGACCCCACCGAATTACCTGCCATTGCCTCACAGGTTGGGGTCTATTTATTTTTTTTTCTGGAAGTTGGTCATTGCCTTTAAAGACTTAGCCAGTAAAAACTGAAAGCTGTGTGTCAGGAAGCAGCAAACACAGCCTGGCTGTACCTGTAAAGTGTGGGGCCAAGCCTGCTCTTGGTATTTGGCTTGTACACTATTCACACTGTTCATCCTCAAGCCAGCCCTAAGAGGCTGCTTTGGCTGGGTCTCCCAGAAGGGGATGGACCAAGGATGCAGCAGGGACTTTACTTTCCCAGTGTCAGGCCTAGAGCATCGGATGGATTTGTTTATACATCACACGTTCCCAGCTGTCCTAACCAGGACAGCCAGCCCGTAGTCTTGACCCTATCCTTGAAAGGCAACACAAAGCATTAGTTCCTGTGAAATCCAGCTTCCAAATGCTTCCCTTTACCATCCTAAAACTACAGCAGCTCTCCTTCTGGCAGGGAGACTGGGGAAGTGAAACACCTGTACAGACAGGACTGTGCAGCCTGACTGACTGCACACTACAAATTATCTACCTACACACATGCAAATGGTGGGCTCCTCTGGGCGGGGGCTGAGCCAGACTTTCTAGCAGCACCAGCTGAACTAGAGCACTTGGAAAATTAATCATGTTTCAGACATGTAACTCAGTCCCCATTAGAGTCTGTTATACCTCTCTCTTATTTTCCTTGTGTCCTCCTTAGGCCCAAACCCCAACAGTCAATCCAGAAAAATAACATTTCTGCTAGTCATTTTTTTTAAAGAGAGAATTAAAATTTCTCCAGCATAATGTGGCCACCTCAGCCTGGTCTGGGACGCCATGCGAAGTCCCAAAAGGAGGGAAACCAGTTATGAAAATGAGACATGATGGGAGGAGGATGTATAATCCATTGCTCTTCCATATAATTAACCAGGAAGTGTGGGGGGTGCAGATTTCCGGAGCTGAGGCACTAATGCAATTTGCACTGGCACTAAGGAACATGGGCTCAGGGACGCCCCTGCACTGCATTACAGAGCAAGCCCTACTCTTCCATTATGTGATGGGTGCATTTCAGGCCAGCATAGAGCTCACGTGCCTTTGTCAGAGACTATGCTGCCCTCTCCCAGCGAGAGGCTGGGCACAAATATCATAGTGGCCTATTTTTTCAAACTCTGACAGTGTCTAAGAAGTTAGCCTATCTGGAAGGCTTGCTGCACTTGTCAGAAGGACTGGAGAAGGACCCTTTCTAGGAAAACTGCAGGAACATCACGTTTTGCAATTTAGCCTTCAGCTCTGAATGATTTCCTAGCTCCTGAAGGTCATCCCCCGAGTAGAGACTTCTTTTCGCTGAGTCAACAGGTCACTGTTATGCCCCATTCCCAAAAAGTAAAGTCTAACTTTACAGAAGCGGACTTTTCAGCATGTTATCTCTGGCACCCCACCAACAGCCCAAGCCCCACAGACCTGGATTTTCTCACCATTCCCAGAAGCTGTAATTAGCTAAAACAGATGACAAATCCTTGGAGAGCCATGCACCTCCCCACCCAGACCACGTGAAGCTAGCACACTTGCATTCTGTGACATTTAAAGAGCACTCCCAGCCCAGTATTTTATTCATTAAGTTTGTGTTTAAATATATATATGTATATATATATAAAAAAATTCTGTGTGTTTTTTTCTAGGTGAAAACCACTCACGTATGACCAAAATAGTCAGCCAGGATGAAAGCTCATACTGCTGAGGTCTCAACCCCCTGTGCAGAGCTCTTGCCAGAGAGACTACCTGAGATATTGTCAGAATCTAGCAGCTCGACAATGCTGTATGGAGAACAATCTTCCAAACCCAGCTTGCTGCAGAGCCAGCCACAGAAGCCCTTTTCCATATCCCTGACAGCATGCCACCAGTACCCAAAGGACCATGCTACCTGGACCACAGCTGAATACAGGCCTAGGGAAAAAGACACAACCATAATTATAATTGGGTAGAAGATGATCAAAAAGGGACAAAACGTGATTTTGTGCCAGAAGGTCCTCTCTTCATTGTACACCAAGAAGATGTTGTACCATGTAATGGTTCCATAGTAGAATGAAACCACAAAGGACACTACAAAAATGATGGGGAGGCAGATGATGGTCCAGAGGACAATGTGGGGTCCTCTGTCCAGCCCAACATCACATTTCTTCTTCTTCTCAGGCACATCTTCTTTAGGAGGTTCCTTCGACTTAGCCAGTTCCTGCAGCTCTTTGTCCGTTAGTGTGACATGGATGTCCACCATCTGACCCTTCTTCTTTCCCCTGGTGATTGTTCCAGTCAAGGTGACATATCGGCTGTCTAAAGGCATGTTCCAGACACCTATGAACACAGATAAACTCATCTATATCAGATTTATTTTCTGTACAGAGTATCTTGTGTAAATCCCCAAAGACAATTAGATAGTGCGTATGGAGTTATAGTAAAATTTAAAAAAGATGGAACGCAAGAAGCAATGCAGTAAAAGAAGATCATCACAGAAGAAAATGGAAGAATAGCTAGTGAGGGAGAAGACAGGAATTCCAGATGACAGAAATCAGAAGAGAGGTCTCCAGCATCGGCACTGGGGACAATATGTGAAGGGAAAGTGCTGCAGGAGTATATGAGAACGAGATGAGACAGAGTAACTGAATAAAAAAATGGCATGCCTATTTTCTCTGGTACCCTCATAGATTTATTCCTGAACAGCATGGACACTTGGAGTGACTTAGGTAAATATGACTAAAACTGTTGTTCTGGAATAAGCACATCCACACACGGAGTTATACTTGAATAGCTAATATTTCACTTTACATGTGCACTCTATCTCAATGCAAATTAATATTCAAACTTTAGAAAATCCTTACAAACTCTCATATCATTATGTTTGCATTTTAAGGGATCAGCAAAGGCACCAAACAGGAAAGTGTTGGGATGTGTGTTAAAGTCACAAACAGACTGCCTTAGCTTCCAAGTGACATTGGTTTAGGATGGTCCCTGAAGTGGTACTGGCCAGAAACTTCTGTGGGGTTAAAATACACTTCCTCCTGGTCTTAATCCTGACTAGCTTGGAAGGAGGTCTTCAGAGGCTCTTAAAGGGAGGCTGAGCAGTTTTAAGTAGTCCACAAAAATCGGGAGGCAGCAGATAAGCCATGAGGGTAGGGGTTGGGATCATGAGGGGATCTGGTGCGGCTGATGGACCAGGACCATGCATTCACATTTAAGCCCCTCTCAGCTGGCACTGCTGACTCACAAGAGGATTAGCCATAGGACCTGCTTCCCACATTTCTTCCCTGCAAGGGTATCCAGGACAGACATCAGAAGTGAAAGTGGCTCCAAGATGCCCCACGTTGACCTTGCCAAATAATTGCTCTTCAAGAGAGAAGCTGTGCTGAGTATATGCAAACAGAAGGCAACAGCAAATCCTAAATAATGAGTAAAACTCCTTATCACAGGTAGAGCCACTAAATCCATCTGCTTCCATCCTTTCACTTAACAGGCAGTTGGTTTAGGCATGGACAGGGGCTTGATCAACCCCAACCAGCACATACATTTAAAACTGAGAGTACAGCAACAACCAACCTCTGCAAAGAACTGCAGGAGACACCTCAAATCAGCTTGTAATGCTTTTTATTTCAGAGCGTTTTCAAGTATGAACTCAAGCTCTCCTCTCTTGCAGTCTTGGAGAGGGTTGGTCCCACAGTCACTTTCATTAGACCTCAGTGCATGCTGGCATGAAAAAAAGTTCCCATAAAGTGGGTGTTCCCAGGAATACGTACCATCTGCTATGGACTGACCCAGGAATTTGGAGCCTTCCTCAGAGCTCCTCTCCCCTCCTTCTTCATCCGCCTGTTCTTCTTCCACCTTATTCTCATTCTCTGACCGATACACTATTATTGACTCGGGACGGGACTCTTTCTTCTTCTTTTTCCTCCGGTCCATGGTGGCTTCCCCATCAAAGGTGACAGTGGTTGCCACAGCCCTTTTCACGGAGCCGCGGCGAGGGCTCTGGCTTCCAGACTTGTTCTCTTTCTGCATGGTCTCCTCCATCCCACTGCTGCTCTCAAGCACCTCACTTGGCATCTTGTAGCACTTGTTTCCAATCTAACAGCTCCTGCACTTAGAAGTCATTGATTAGACAATGGTCCCATGCATGCTTTGTTATGGTAAGATGTCGCACTGCTGACATCCAGACTATGCACTCCATTCCCAGCCTAAAATGAGAGAGAAGACTGAATAAGTATGTTTTTCTCACCGAGCAGAAAAAATTACTAGAATTTTCCTATAAAGGGTTACTTCCAACTGGTTTAAATGTCATCTGAAGATCCTTATTATCCTGAACATCAATTTTATTACATGGATACATGTTTTTTAATATCACCTAATCCTGATTCTCAGGTTCCAATTTTAAATATAACAAACCAAAGCTACTGGAAAAGGAAAGAGTATTAGCATTTATAAGAAGAGATTAAACAAGCACGGTTTACTGGGTGAATTTAACATTCCTCTGCAATGCTGGAAGCAAACAGAAGACAATCGTTTTGGACTACATGCATGAGAATGAAGAAATGAAACCATAGACGAAAAAGAAGTTGACTGATTTAAGGGACTGGCCTAGATTAGAGACCACTGCAGCAGGAACACCGCGCTCATCCTGCGCTACAACAGCTGTATTGGTGCCAGCCTTTCTCATCTTGAGTGTCTTCTGATTTACTGCTCGTTGCAAGGATATTACAAAAAGTAATCAAATGATGTCAAAATGAATGATGTTTCAAACCTTACCAAATTTGTGTTATGCAGTGCTGTCAGACCTTAAAAATACAGTATACACAGTGGATTTAAAGCAAAATTACTATTAGGACAACTTCACTGGGGAGGGAATTGGAAACCACAGCAGTCTTCTGATTGTGCAGGGAAAATAACCCAGATCTTCACAAATCTTTGTCACAAATATTAGGGCTCAGTTTTTTCCTCCTCATTCAAGCAAAATTAACAGCAATATCAAGTGACACTGTTATCTATGGGAAAGCTGCCTAAGTAAAAAACATAATTAAACATGCATCGAGGCAGACAAATCCTGCTCCACTGCTGGAAGACACAGGATTAACCGTTCTCAGATTCTGTAACGTGTAAGAAACTAACTGTGCCAAGTATTCACAAAGTATTTAGGTACAAATCTGAATACAATGAATAAAGTTTTAACAACTCTGAAGAGCTCTGTTGAACATTTACAGGAACATTTATATTTCAACGAATGCAAATGACCAATAACGTGTTGTCTTCTACCTACTATCTGAGTCATCTCTTTTAACAGGAAACTAAGAACCACAGTTATCACAATTTACAGCCCACACAATGCTGTGAAGTTGTTTTACTTGAACAGATGCTAGAAAAAAGTTGAGCATTTTTAGATTTGGCAGTATGGTCCTGGTCTTCCCACAGATATAAGATTTTGCTGGATTGTTTTGAAATTTGTTGCAGAACTTTAGATCAACTATTTATGCCTCATACACTCTCACACATACACACCCTTTTAACTGTCTCTAACACCTAAGACCAACTGTGGCCAGTTGGCTTTATGCGGCTTTAAAGAACTCAACAATTCAGATTATTTTTTTGCATTATAGAAAATAAATCTTCCCTGGTGATCAGAAGACACATAAAATGGAATTTAAAAAATCAAGACTTGGCATACCCCAGAAGCTGGACTACTTCTAAATCACTGGGCAGGGAATATCTCGGCTAGCTCTGCAGCACGGCTGGGAACAGACTGTTTAGATTGCCATCTGAGATGCACCTGCCATGCAAAAATGTGTGCCTATGTTTGCAGACATACTGGAAAACAGCTCTATAAAATACTAAATTTACTGCAAATACTGTCCCCTCACTGCAGTGTCAAGTGTTGCACTTTAGAACTACCTAGAAGCAACTCAGTTTAAATATTCCATGGCTGACCAAGGGAAGCAAGAACGAAGAGGGGCAGTGATGATGAATGCCCTAGTCTGGTGTGCCAAATAAGCGTGGTTCAGTGTGTGGGCTGTCCGAGATCACTGCCTGTGCATTCTCCTCCCATCTCAACATCCAAGCCCAACAGAGAATGGAGCAAAAAGAAGAAGGGAATTTTGCCCCCTTTGGGTCTCCGGGAGAAACATCTCATCGCCTTGTTCTTGTACCTCGTCTGCCTGAGGAACGTGGCCTTTACATCTGTTTGGAAGTAGTGTGCAGACAGACAGTTTTCCACATACCATAATGTAACAGACGAATGGCATATGCAAGAAAACTTCACAGTGAAATCTAATGTTTTGCTTTCTACTTCCCCCTTTTAACTCCAAAGCAAATCATCCACTGAATTCAAAGATAGCAAACTCTGGCTCTTAACGTGTTAACATTGGCAGGACTCCAAGATTTCTTTACATCCACTGGAATTCAGGTAAGCTTTTGTTCACTGTTTTTTAAAAATGCCTTTACGGGGAAATGGAAGAAATTTATTCTATGGAATAAACTCACTCCTTGTAGTAAATTCATCCAGGAGGTATAATAGGCTCTAACATTTTTCTCTGAGAATCAACAATAAAACTTCATGTTTTGCCTCTGTGAAATGCTAAAATCACCTGATTGAGCCTAATGAGCCCCTGAGACAACAGTGAGATTCCCCTCCCAGAGGTGGTAAAAAGAAAACAGGCCTGGAGCCACAGAGAAGCCAAAAGCATCACTACTGGGATGATCTACTAAAAGTCTTGAGACACGGAAGTTGATTTGGGATTATATTCCCAAAATTCCTGGCTGTAGTTCCACGCTCAGTCCCTACTGCCTTGAAGAGGGGATAACTTGCCAGCAACACTTAAAAATAACCCAAAGCTACAGGCAAAGATTTGTGGTTGGGCTTTTTTTTTTTCTTAGAAGTTTATCCAGCTGTGACCTTGGTTAAACTCACAGTAGATGAAAAGCTAATGTCAGTTCTCGGTGTAATGCCAAAGCCTAAAGGACTGTGTTAACCTTGACTATGCGAGGAGGAGCAAGGTGATGTTACTTTTGAACACCTGGCACAGATAGGATTTCTACTGGAAACTTGTGTCCAGTTCTTGCGCTCACCAGGCAGGCAGGATGCTGATTAATGACCAGAAGATGCCTACGATACCTGAATTATTTTGCTATGATGTCTGATGTTCCCACCCCCACTACAGCAGCTATTGCCACTGTGAGCTTCCACCAGGACTAGAAAGAAACACCTCCATAGCAGGGTTATCAAGTGGAGGCAGCTCAGTTTCTTCTTCTCTTGCTCCTGAGCTGAGCTGAGGGGAAGGGATTGGCAATGGTGGGCAAGCTCCTAAGAAGCACCGTTGCTGTGGCTGGGTCAGAGCCCTTGGGATAAGGAAGTGAAGGAGCCCAGATTATTCTGTTTAAGGCACAAGGAGGTAAAATTTCATGTCAGTCTGTCTACATCAGAAAGAAAAACATAAAGAAGAGCCCTCTGATCCAGCAGAGGAGGATGCAGTAAGATAAAAAGCTGAAAGATAGAAATGCAGGGCAGACGTTAGGTAGGTGTTTTAACAAAGTGGGTAGGTGTCACTTGACATACATCATGGAGGGCTGTGTAGAGTTGTCCCATCACTGGAAACTTCCAAATCTGGACTGGGTATCTTGGCAGCAGTTTGGTCATCAGTACTTGACCAGAAGAGGTGTTAATGTGGGCTTGTATCAGGGAGCAGTCAGAGTGAAAGGTCACAAAGATCCCTCCTGATCTTAAGCCTGTTTTCACATAGATGTTTACTCTTTTCTCATCTGTTTCTGCCAATGGAGCAGCTGGGATGCTCTCTGCCACCTGGTCCAGACCTTCTGAACACAGTGCTTCGAAACACCATCAGCCCTACATTCTGCACAGATGCTGGTGAATCAAACAGGTTCATGCCCCAGTCCCATTTTTCCTGGGAATATTTTCTCTGTAGCTACGAACAAAAAAATGGGCTCTTGTGGGAATCACAGTAGTGTACACAAACCTTATTTTTTCTCTCTTCCTTTTCTTTAATCCTGTAAGAACAAGGTCAGCCCTGAGCACTACACAGCTGTCCACAGCACCAACTCTTTCAGCCGTACACCAAGATCTTCACCCCTTAAAAGCCTTGCTGTGGAGCTGAAGCATGACAATTGCCGTGCATCGAGTATTAGTGATGGCTCCCACGTGGGAGCACAGGGGCAGACAGGAATCTAATAACTGTCCATGGGAGGGAAGGAAAAGAAATGATCAAATTTCAGAGATAGCAGGGAGCAGTTTATTAGCCAAACAATTTGTTATTAATCTCCGTGTGAAAACAGATGGAGAACCCTGGGGAGGCGGCTCTGCAAAAACACTCTGTAGAGGAATTTTTAGAAGCACAGTCTTCTGTTACTATGCAGGAAAGCCACTGCTGCTTACGCTTCCCATGACAGTATTAGTCTTTGACACACAAAATGGGAGCCTAAAAGCTTGGCTTTGCACCATTTAGGTCAAAGAAGTTTTTTTGCATTGGTTTTCAGGGCTTGATCCTACTGCTAACAGAAGAGAAATTATCTGGTTTGAATGCAGACAGGAAGGAAGAGCCTTCCTGCAAGCTAATAAAATCCTTGATCTTAAATCCCTGCTACAGCACAAGTAGTTTTTATGACTGCTCAGAGCAGACATGAGAGGAAAAAATGTAGACGGTAAGCAGTGAGGAGCATCAATTTTTATTTTTAGTCACATGAAATGTACAACACATAAGAAGAACTGGCACTGTGTCTTCACTCACATCATGCAGGGGTTATCTGCAGAAACAAAAAACAACCTGTGCTTTGGAAGCACTGTGAGTTACCCAGGATGGGGGAAGAGATAAGGGGAAATGTACCCCAGAGACACACCTTGAGACGAGAGCTCCCCAGCCACGCATCCTCCTTCACCCGCTCCTTTTACTCCACAGCCTCCCCATCCCCAGTCCCTTCTCCACCCAACCCTGCTTCTGATTTTGTACATGTGTGGGTTTCTGAGGATGCACGGTACCCAAAGGATTACTTCCAATCCCTAGTATTTTTAAAGGGATTATCTGCTGGCAGATTGTGCACATGAAAAATAGATGGTATCAGATGCATC